AACGAAAACATTAGTGGTCCAACATGATTTAACCTCTTAAATACAAAGCGAATAAACTAGCATGTTACGTTATAAGCCTGAGAAACGAAACTGAACGAATAAGAAGCCAACTTCAGCCTTGTTAATTTCTCTGCATCGTAGTGTAAATTGATGAAACTGGTATCGGTAAGTTGAGCTACTTTTGTAGCATTTAAATTGCTTTGTACATTTTATAAAAAAATATTTGTTAAAGATATAACACAAAACTGGTTTCTTAAGGTGAAGTATTGAATTTAATATTGTTTGAAATTATAAAGATGTTTTCACGTAAATGTTTTTATTTTATAAAAATTATGTTACTTTGGTTATTTCGTCGTGTAGTGATGTACTCAATTGTTGTTTACCTTCATTACGAAGTTCATGTCTAATGTCACTGCCTGAAGGCCTTTTGATGTACTATAATTTATATATTTTTTTATAATAATGACTTTTGCCATAATTTTGTATTAATGATTATATAGGAACATAGTGTGGTCTAGTGGTGGATAAATCACTCAAGCTATCGAAGCAGTGATTAGCGCTACTGGAACTAGTAATATCAATACTATTATAATAATTTAAATAAATCATTACTATTAGTAAAGCTAATAGTAATAATACTAATGTTAATCGTAATACAGCAGCGTAGTTTTAAGGTGTATTTTCGATGTATAAACATATTGAATATAAGTCAAAAGACTATTAATATTATTACCATGCCTCACTTGGATTAATGTTTAGTTTCTGGTCTCCTTATTTAAGAAAAGATGTTGACTTACTGGAAAAAATTCAGTGTAGGGGCCAGTAGTGCTACTAGGATGATTGAAGGATGGAAAGTTTAGATTATTAATGTCTTAATCATTAATGTATTTCTTTTCAGAGAAAAAGGATAATAGGTGATCTTATTGAACTTGAAAAGGTTATCTGTGAGATTGATAGAATAAAGACTTCTGATTTCTTTTTGTTATATTCTGAAGATGATAGAACAAAAGTACACAAGCTTAATTTGGAAAAGACAGGCTTATCTCCAGTTAAGACTTTAATTTTTTCTAACAGGGTGGTTGGTACAGGGATTGAGTTGTCATTGGCAGTACTTTACCAGACTTTAAAAGGGCCAGAAGTTGTTGACTTCTTGAAAACTAAAAGAGAGCAATAAAGGTATGCATTTAGAGTTTTTTCAGTTCTCTCAAGGTAGGTGTGTAAAAACAGCCTTGATGGACCAAATGTTGTGTGTGTAACTAATTACAAACCCTTACTTATTCATTTCACCAAAGCTAAACACACATTAGATGACATTTGTTATCTGTTTTGCTGACTGTGCAAGATTATGTGACATTCTCTGACTATACTAGCAGATTGTGTGATATTGTATGACAATAATATTACATATTGCTCTGACTTAACAGGGAGTTGGAAGAACTTTATTTACAAAGTACTTGGGTTACGTTTTTCATGGAATATTGATGGACATGGCTGTAAAATCTTTCTGAATATTCTTGTATATTAGTTGACAAGATCTTTTGTTGTTTATTGACATTAGATCATACCTATGGGTCTATGACAGTCTTCTTGAAGTGTACTAAGGAAATTTGGTCCTACCAAATCCTGAGATTTAAATATGGACTGTATAAATCTTGGTAGAATGTGTGTTATATTGCCAGACTTTTTCTTATTTTTGTTATGTGTGTAGTTTGGTGTATTTCTGACTCTAATATGACATTACTTATGCAGGAAGAATAGAGATGTAGACTGGTTGCTGTGCCATGATGGAAAGAGTAATTTTACTGCCGTTAAATGTTCGTCCACTTTTGACTGTGTGTATATATATTATTTTGTAGTTGCCAACATAAAATGTGATCTGGATGGCAACCTCCATAAACATGGCTGTGTCTGCAGATTTCTCAATATTTGAAACTAACTTTCTTAACCACTCACAAATGTTTGCCATTTACAAAACATCTGGCAAAAACAAAATAATTTTTGAATTCCCTTAGTGGATATAATTGTCAGCTGATGTGAATTTCCAAGAAGGTCAGATTTTTTATTTGTCCTGGATGATGATGTTGTTTACTTATTGCAAGCATGTGATGGTCAACACAAGAGATTGAACTCAATATATTCAACTAATATACAAGTTTCTTAGTCATTATACATAGACCAGTTTTTGTACTCCCACTTAAAATACACTATTCAATTAAATAAAAAATATGACTCAAATATTGAGGTTATGTATATATTTCATTTAGTGTTAGATATTTGATAACGTGTTTTCACAAAGAAAGGAAAGCATGGTAAATGTAGTATTCAGAACTGAAGTTGTCACTTTTACATAAAATGTGAGCAGAAGTGAAAATAAATGAAAATCTTTGAACCTAAAGTTGCCAAACAACAAATTAACCCATCAGTTATGAGCATTATACATATGTAAGATTCAAGAACTTTAACAGTAATTTTTAACATGCAAACATAATGAACTTGATAAGTTCCTTTGTATTGTAGCGTGGCCTGTAACTGATAGCTTCACTGAGTTCGAACTGATTTTTTAAAGACAAACCAGCTGGAGGCTAGATTATAGCTTTTTGTCTTGCAATAAGAAAAAATCTTATCAAAAAGAAGTGAAAATCAAAAATGTTAAAAAGTCAAACAAAAAAAGTGGAAAAATTGATTTTTAAGTTAAAAGATAAAAATTAACCCATAAAGAGTTAGTAATCAAGTAATTAGACCAGTACACATTGTTTTATGTTGAGTATGACAACATTTTATTGCAAACTTGTTTACTGAATGTATATTTTCTCACATAAAATTCATAAAAGTTTAAAGGGACAGAAGGATTTTGTTAGCTCCCAACTATGACCACCCCTTACTACACATGTATTCATCCAATCCTTTTTTGAACTCAGTTAAATTTTCTGCTTCCACCACCCTTAAAAGCAGCTCATTCCAAAGCATCCTGTTTGAAAAGTAATACTGTCTAAACTGCAGATGACTCCTACGCTGCCCAAATTTTAATTTATGACCCCTTGTCCTATTGTTTTCAATGCTACACACAAAAAACGTTGATGGATCTATATTATCAATATCCTTAATAATCTTAAACACTTTAATCAAATCCCCTCTGACCAGAGAAAACAAGTTAAAAGATTTTAGTCTCTCCTCATAGGACAATCCCACCATCCCAGGTATCATCCTAGTGGCTCTTCTCTGAACCTTCTCCAATAATTCAGTGTCCTTCTTGAGGAAGGAATCCCCAAACTGTGCATAGTACTCTATATGAGGTCTTACAAGTGATCTATACAATGAAACAATAATATCCCTTGTCTTGTATTCAATGTTTCTATAGATGTTACACAATATCCTATTAGCCCTATTGCTAGCTATAATACACTGTTTAGATGACTTAAGTGATTTTTTG